TTAAATGTGTGATTTTTCAGGCACAGAATAAGCCAAATCTCAGAATAAACTGGATTTTCTATGGAGAATCACCGTTGATAATGCAGTTCAGTATAGGACTAAGGTTAATCTGTTTCTAGGAATTGGACCAAGATGATGCAAATATGAACTAATTCTTAACTGTTTCATGTGATTATATTGCTTGATGTGCAGAATAAGCAGATGTAAAAGAAACATCTTTGGACCGCTTGTCAAGTCAAAGAGAGACTGAGGGATTCCATACTTTTTAAGAGCTGAACCGACAGCATATCAAATCGCCAACACCAGAAGAAATCACTCTTAATGTAAAGTGATACACAGCTGTCGGCCTTAAATGGGCTCAACGTTTTTCACTTCATCTCGGACAAAGAGGCCATGCAGAGCCAATAGTCAAATTTTCACTTTGGGCACTTGATTTACTTTGAAGAAGTAGGTGTCAGCATTGAGAATGTGTTATGGATGTTATCTGGTTTTGTGATAAAGTCATAGGTGTGCTCTGGGTTTTATCGTTCTCTTGTTGCCTCGAGACTGTGACCCCTGTCTGAGGACATGGCTCATTTCTCGGTAATCATTCACTTGTAGCCTTGGGTTGAGGGGCTGTGACAGGCATTGTCTTGGCTCTTGAAAACAAAGTAAAGGTATCTCATATAATAGACCTGCATTACTGAAACCCCAGGCATGTGTTTTTGTTCCAAAACCAATGACTCAGTAACAATTTAGTACTCAGTATATTCACACTAGTATTCAAAAGTTTGGGTTTGGTAAGATTTTGTAATGTTTTTGTCTCTCATGCTCACCAAGATTGCAGTTATTTGATCAGAAATACAGTAAAACTGTAATATTATGAAATACTGTTGCATTTTAACTTTTTTAGTTTAAAAATGTTTATTTTTGTAATGGAAAAGCTGACTTTTCAGCATCCATTACTTCAGTCTTCAGTGTCACATGATCCTTCAGAAATCACTCTAATATGCTGATATGCTGCTCAAGGATAATTTCTTATTATTTTCGATGTTGAAAACAGTTTTAATATTTTTGTGTAAACTGAAATTAATTTTTTCAGGTTTCTCTGATGAATAAAACATAATTTATTTAACAAGCATTTATTTGAAATAGAACTATTTTGTAACATTATAAATATGCTTACTATCACTTTTTATGAATTGAATGAATCCTTGCGGATTAAAAATTATTTCTTTAAAAAAAATCTTACTGACCCTTTTGAAGACAAAGAAAAAAATTCATAGTTCATAGATACATTCGACAGATAACAAAACAGAATTTCAACAATCATAGAAAGAGTGATTCAAGGTGATAGCATCATTATTGCACAATAACTATATAACTATACAAAATCCTTTTAAATTGATTTTTTTCTCTTAATCTTAAAAAAAAATGCAACGTAGATTCATAGGTATATTAGGTACATTAGATATATAAGAAAACAGAAAAAGTTTTTAAACAATCATAGAAAGAAAAGAGTTTGCCGGTTTTTTACCGTCAATTTTACGGATTTTTTTTTACAGTGTATACAAGGCAGTGACATCATCATTGCACTATAACCATAATAAATAGACAGATATATATTTATATTTAAAAAACAGTTCAAGATAGATAGATGTCTCTGAATAATCGTGATATAGTTCTGGAACTATGAAATGAAATTGATGTTTGTTCTTGTAATGGCGAGACACTGGCAGAGTGCAAGTGTTGTGGGTGTGGTACTGCAGCGTGCCAATGGACGCCAGTTGTAGAGGGAGGTAGGGAGCTGTTGCAGCATGCCTTTCTCTCTCGTCTCTGAGTGTCCCGCCCCCTTTGCCACTGCCATCTCTTGGCTTTCCCAGAATGCCCTCTGTCTGAGAGCACTGGCCTGAAATAAAACTATGAGGGCCTGCGCGGAGAGAATGGGAGCTTTGTCTCAGCTGCCATTTACACTGTCTGGAGGCATAGAGACAGAACTCAAAGAGAGTGTCTGATTGCAAATTAGCACAGCTCAGGGCTCAATGCTCTGTACACTCATACACACTCACGCACTGGCGGTGTGAGGCGTGGAGAAAGTTCTGCATTAAATGCCGCCTTTAGTTCTATTGAGTAGTGCCACATTTCAGTAAGGGGCACAAAAAATAATTAGCAGTAGGCTTCTCTTGAGCTGACTTGTGTATGACCGAAGCATTTGGGGTTGTTTAGTATGCAAGTGATGCCGGGTCTGAATTTGTGATTATCTGAAAGACAAAAGGTGCAGCCGGTGCACTGCAGGACATCAGTGGGCTCCGCGAGTGGGCCTCTCGCTGTGTTTCACTGTGACTGACATGCGTCAGAGGATCACATGCAGTTTGTTACATGATGACTCTATTTGGCGTGAGAACTTGAGTCTTTATCTTATAAATACAAGTGTAATCATTTTGAATTGTTTGACCTAAATGCATTCTTATCAACTATTTTCAAGGTAATTGACTGCCTGAGGAAGCAATTTCTACAAAGCCTTAAAATTGTGTGCATTAAATATCATATAATCAAATCTCTCCTTGACTTTCTGGTTTAAAAATTTGAAGCACTTGCTGGCATTAATGTCTACCCTTTTTTCTTGCATATATTTATTTATTTAATATGAGAGGCAAGTAATGCTGGAGACAAGAATAAGTTTCATGTAAACATGTGATGCCATGCGAACTCAACAACCCTTTCGTTATAATCTGCTTGCCACCATCTCATGTTAATTCCCATGAGGCCGCTTTGTGTAGGACGTAAACACACGCGCGTTCACACATAGGACACAATTCGGCCCTTTAATCTGATTAGCTGTGTCTGTATGGATGAACCTGTGGGTTCATGGAGTGTGTTCCTCTACTTCTAACCATCGGTAGAGTGGTGAAGCAATGACTTCAGTATTTATAGAGAAAGTAATCAGATTTTTGAGCACAGAGGGGAAAAAAATGCAAGGTAATTAGTTCTGAAATTAACTTTTAAGCATCATACCTATCAACACCATCCTGTATCAGAAGTAATATTTTACTTAAGTGTCAAAAAGATGCACTGATGTTAGTTATTGATTAAATTATGTAAGCCCTATCCTACATTTCTAACAAAAAAAAAAAGGAATAATAACTAAATGAGGGTGTGATCAAAGCTTTTACCTGATTTCTTTTTCTTCTGTAATAACATTTTCTGGCTGAGTGATTTTTTTTTTTAGATATTATTTTATATTTTATTTTATTTTCTGCACATTTTATTGGAGAAATATTGCCTTGTTTGCAACTAAACTTCCATCTGTACCTGACAGATAAAACAGTACTCTGTCTGTTTTAAGTGGCTTTGTAAAATATTTTTTTATGAATGGGTATTACATTCAGAAATACATTTGTGAAATTGTTATTCCTGACTATAAACCACAAATTCAGCAGACTTGACTTAAAGGAGACTTGAAGCAGGGAAAAAATCACACTAATGGTCTCTGAGAGCCAATAATAGGAGTAAATTAGAATTTTCCTTAACAGAGTTTACAGTATTGTAAGTTAAAGTCAAGTTTTTTTGTTGTTTCTATTAAAACATTTAATACATTTAACATGTCTGTACTGAACATCGAGACAGAAATTCTTAATATTAATGTTGCAAATTAGTATGTGAATAAGTCTTGAATGAATGCATGACTCACATCACACTGTTAGCCAAAACCTGATAAAAATGCCCTTCAAAATGCCTTTGATGGCAAACACACACACGTACACACAGGTTTAACATCATATCACATGATAGCCTGAAGTCCTTCTCACTTAACCCATTTAATCCCCTGTTTGTGACTAAAAAGTTTTTTGTCAACTATAAAAAAAATGAAAGTGCATTTTAATATTGTTGGTGTAAATACATGACTGAAGCTGTTTAATGCCAATTTGCCTTTCTGAAAGATGATGCCAAGGCTCCATAAAACATGTCATAATACAGATAAAGCTACCATAATTGATGCATATAATATTAAAAGGGTCCATTATTCTCATATAAATCATGATGATAAACATGTAAATATGTCAGTGGTCACATTTTTTAATAAGTGACTGATTCATATTATACAACTGTAGATTTTGTCTTTTGAAGTATTGTCACATTAAATGAAACAAAGTAAATGTAAAATAAATAAATAAATGATCTTATTTCTTTTTTTTAAACATTCTGTTCGGTCTCTTAGAGCAAACTGTTTACGCGTATGACCAGGGATATACTTTTACTAGCTGTTTATATTTTCCTTTTTTATTTTATTTATTTATTCTTTTAGAAAAGCCATGAAGTTTATTTCATTGTAACGTTACTATCCAAGAATTAAAATACATGTGCTCACTAAATGGGTTAAACGACGGCTTACAAGACCCGGGACATCTACAAACTTTTATGAAAATCTTTACAGAACGGTTAAACGCCTGTAAATATTTCATAAGTAGACATTTATACTAAATGGTTGGTAAATATTTTATTATTACTACATAAATCGGCAAGCCAACAGGTAGTATGTCTTATTTATTTCAGAGATCAGCAAATGAGCAAATATAATTCCTAACACTCTCGTCCTCATAAAAAAAATAATAAAAATCAAGTATGTTTTTAAACCACAATTTTTTATTTTTTTTACTTGTATTTACCTACGGTGTTTCTTTCTCCGAGATCAACCACAACAGACTTCTCAAGTCGAAACTTTTTAACGTTACCTCAGATTTTTCGTCGGTTTGAAAACGGACTGCATATTCGTCGAGCTGTTAGTCTCTGAGGTAAATCTGCCGAACGGGCCGAGCACGACGGGCCCATGAATTAAAAGAAAAAATGCCCACAGCCACCATCATTATATATCCGATGTGAATAAGAGTAAACAGTGTGTTATTTAGTGCTGATATTAGGTCAGCGGCTGCTGTCTGGCTCTTGTGTAACGGTCGCTGCGCGCGCTCGTGTGTGAATCACAGTTCACCTTAGTTGAACTTGTGTGATCTTCTAGTTCACGGTAGTATGAGGCTGTCGGTCCGGTCCGGTGTGGCTGTTGCGAGGATGAACAGCTCCTCTTGATCATTACCAAAAAAAAAGCTACCTTTAAAAGACGCAGTGTGTCGTCATGTTTTTGTGTAGATCAGAAGGTTGTGATAGTTTGCTGGCGGACAGACTGCATTAACGGTCGTGTGTTAACCGCGTTCAAGAATTTCAGCCTGAACTTGAAAAATAAAAACGGTCGTCGTGGTTTTACCCAACGACTCCCGTCAAGTTTCATTTGTTTGTTTTGCCGTTGCTCGTTTCTAACGACAACTAAAGGAGCACGAATGATCGAGACGACGCTAAGAAGCGGATGAAACGCGGACGTAAATAATGTAAGTTTGCCGTTATCATATTTTAGTTGGTTCCATCGGTCGTTTTTTTCTGTATTGTTTTTATTTCGCTGTTACGCTTGAAATTACATGCGCCAATCATACGAAGCCGGCATGTGGGGCATTATTGAATTGTAGCCTAGTTTTCACAGCTTATTTACCTGGCATCAAATGTAAAATAACGTTATCTGTCGAGCACGCACTCGAATGAATTAAACGAGGAATAACCTTAACTCATTTTGTTAGTGCATGTCGAGGAGAATAATGGAGTTAGAGACACATAAGAGATAGGAAAGAGGTCTGTTTTTCATGGCCAGACGTTTTTGTTCGTGCTTTTCAAATAATCGATCGTGCTGCTCTCTTATTTGGGGTTGTGTAAATTCTTCTCTTTTATTGAAGGCACCATGAGACTGATCTGGTCTTCTCCTTTAAAAGCAAAATAAATCGAGTGTGTGTATTTCATAAATAGGGTTGCTCACTAAAATATTTCTGCCAGGCTTATGTATTTTTACAACCTGTTTCATCCCGTCTATATCAAACTGGACGGAGGTTGTGGACAGTGTGTCATGCAACATAGTGAAATGAATAGATGAATCTCAGCTGATACGATTATTATTAAAATAAAATATTTTTTGATCCCTTTGTACTGAAAATGTATGCTCTAATATCTTAGGTGGCTTCCTTGACTTGTATCATGCATAAACAAGTCCTAAGACAATATGCCCCTTTTAGAGTTGATGATAATGCAGTTATCGAAATACATGCCAGTTATTTGACCAGGTTTTGTTTCTTTAAATGCATAATGCTATGTTGCAGACTTTTTTGATTTTTTGATTTTTTTACAGCCAGTGAGAATAGAGCTTATTCTGAAATGTTAGACTGTGTGTGTTTGTGTGTGTGTGTGTGTGTGTGTGTGTGTGTGTGTCTGTGTTGCAGTGGTGCTTGAAATGGCGAAAATCTATATCGGACTCAACCCAGAGATGTAATGTACGTCCACCTTTTATCTGGTACGATTTTGTCTTTAAATATACATATAAATATACAGAGTGAGTGTAAATAAACTCAGTGTAAATAATAGAATGAGATAATAATCTGCTGTTATATGCTAAAAGTGAGATTGCCGTTATCTGTGTACTTTTTTGTACACGTACATCAGACAGATGTTAGAATAATGAAGCCTACTGAATAATATAAACTACAGTTTCATGCACGTATAATGCTTTATTGTGCATATGTGTTTTGTAATGTATTATTAATAGATATGAAAGTGCATGGATTTGTGCATCTCATTATGTATCTGTGAGGCTTTACTTCTGGTTGTTGACCGCTCTGTGTGTTACACATACATGCTATAACATGTTAACCAACATCCTTTGAGATTTGTTATGCTGACTGTGCTATTACCAACCTAGGCTAAAATGGCCTTCTTATGCTCTAATTGTCTTCTGTGAATGAGTTGCTGAACTGAAATAAGCAAAAACTTTTTTTTTTTTTACTCAAAAGGAACTTTAAATATATTTTAAAAACACAATTTTATCATCAGCAGATTTATTTCTCCTTTTGTAAAATGTGTGTTATTAATTTGTTGTCAGTGGTAATTTTGGCAGACAAAGTGCATTAAAAAAATTCAGATGCAGCTTTAGTTGTCCTTATCGTTGCTTGTTTGCATTTTAAATAAATAGAAGTAGCCTCTAAACCTAAGCAGAAAATAAGATTTTTTTTAAAAAGTATGGGGATGTTTTAGGTATTTTTGAGGTTTTACACGAAACCTCAGTCCGATGTTTTACATATGCATGCCTCTTAATGTGACCCAACGCTCACTGTAAACAATGTCATGCATTATTTTGAAGGGCCTGTATATTTTTCTTTTTTTCCTCAATAATTTTTCTTGTCGTATACCTTCTAAAATAGGAGGAGACATTCAGAATGGAGATGATGTCAGCACTTCAAAACAAAAAGAAAAATCAGTAATTTTGGAAATCTGTTTCCAGTTGTCTTAATGTTGTCACTCAGCACTTGATTTGTCTTGCCAAAAATATCTTTTCATTTACATCTCCTGTCGGGGAAATAACCAAACTGCTGTTGAACACAGAGCTACGTAACCCTAGGCAGGAAGGCTCAGGCCAGGCCGATGCTGAGAGCGCACGACCGAGGCCAGATCGCATTCCGTAGGTCTTGCTGAGTTCGTAAAGTGTGTGTGCATGCTGGAAGTGTCTTTCCATGACTGGGCCCTGGTGCTACAGCCACGCCAAACTGTCAATCCCACAGGAATGTGTCCCCAAACTCTTTGCAACAGATGACAGAAATTTGGCGTATGGTATTGTCATATTCTTTTTCTCTCAGACTTTTTTCTTCATCCCTTCTCTGCTTTTGTGCTCAGCCTCAAGTTTTTCAGTGCGCTTTCCCTTTCTTCCCTTGCTGCATTTCAGCAGAGATAGAAGGCCAAACATGTAATGTGTCAACATGACCTGGACTCGGTACTGTAATCTGAGCATTTCGCTTGGCCTTTCAAAATGATTTGATAATGATGACGGCTCGTTACCACCATCTTTTACTAAAACGGTTTGAAAATCACCAGATAATTGAGCAAAGCCAACCGAGCCCTTCGAGACTACAAAGAGGCGAACAATCCTACGCACTCTTTGCACCGACAGAGTCATAAATTCATGTCTCTTCGCTGGCCCATTTCCAAGACGGATTACCTCAGCTAACCCTACGAAAAAAGCATACATTATTTGAAATTTTAAATGCAATCACCACAGGGAGGGGGAGGCGCGTCGTCTAACCTGACACATTCACACAATCAATCCACGCTTTTGTGTGGCTCTCAGATATGAGTGGCTGGATGATTTGAGTGGCCTGTAGTGTCAGCTGAGGTCAGGGGCGTGTCCTGAGCTTTTAGCCTGTAGCCTATCTGAAGCTGGCACTAAAAGGTTGCACAGATGTGAGGAAGAGCCGTTAGAGCAATACGTGTCCTACAGGAGTCGGGAACATTATAGAGCACAAGGGGATGTGCCTAAGCCGCTCAGATTCCGAGTGCAGCAGAGGACAGTCAGACTGACACACATTCTGTAGTTACGGGGCTGTGTTTTACCTGTCATGCAGGGAGACATCAGGTGACGCATTTTGTGAATGCATGTGCACGAGGGAACTTAGGTCGCGCGTGTGATTTATGTATGTCAGCGTGTGTGCGCTTTCATTTTAGAGAGCGAACTTGTGGGTATGAGCTTGGAGCTCTTAAGTGCTTGACCTAATTTCGCAGGCAGAGAAGAATTCGGCAGTGAAGGCCTTCCTCTGTTAGTGTGAGGTTGCTGTGCTGGGTGTTTCCTCCCAGGGTCTAACAGGAAGCTCATGTCTGAGTTCATTTGAGGACAGGGAGAAGGCTTTTCTTTCCACTGTGGATCGTTCTAGAGAGGGGGAGAAAGCCAGGGCCTCAGCTCTGAATTGCCCTTCTGCAGTCTTGCATCTGTTTTAGCTCCTTATACTGCTATATTGTCTGTTTTGGCAGAACTTAGGTTTTTTTTTTGCTCCTGCTAAGAAAACATCTATTTTTTGGGCTTACAATGAGCAGAAGCTGAGATCCTGAGTCAAAAATGACTTAATGAATCCTGTGAGCAAATGAAACAATCCCCTGCAGGGTTCTTTTCTGCTTCCTTTGGTTCGGTTTTACATTCCAGGCTCAACTGAGCCAGGTCGTGACCCATGAAAATGCTGCTCTGTTCACGGTGGTTTTGGATGAATATTCACAGCACAGATGAGCTTATGGACAGTTATTGAAATGAATTAAAGTGCTTAAAGTGCTTTCATTGAGTTTTAGTGAATGCTCATAGGCTGTGATTTGTTGTTCACAGGTTCAGGGGCTTTGGACTACACTGACAAACATGCGTGTTGCAGGACTACGCAGGTGAGAAACATTTTAAGAAACTAAAGTGACCATCGACACACATTTGCAGTGCCACTCCATGCCACAACAAGCCAGTTTTGTAAAGGAATTCACACTTAGCATTAATTAAATAAATATAAAATTCATAATTTTTACATTGATTTATTTAGCAGATGATTTTTTTCAAAAAGGGACTTAAAAATAGCCATATTTTATCTAACCATTTTGTTGCATTGGAAATATTACCTAAATGTTCAAAAGTTTACCTGTTTCTTTTACAATAATAATTATTTTACAAGATTTAATGATATTGTATATTCATCGTTTTAAATGCATACTGCAGCCAGTCTGCAGGCTTGCAGTGTTTGTGTGGTCTCTTTGAAATGTGAATTCTGTGTGGGAGGCCTCTCTATTCATCTTCCGTGAACGTTTCATGTTGATTGTTTAGTGAAGTAAGAAGATATCAGGTACTCTAGACATGTCCTTTCCAAATTAGAATCTTCATGACACGTATTGCATCATCCTATATGCTCTGATACTCGATTACATGTTACATCATACGCAGATCAAATATTTCATCAGACAGTGGGGTTGTTCAGATCTAGGGCAGGTCTTTGAGAGCTTATTTCTATGGTGGGCAGAGCAGAAAAATGATGAGAATTGACCTGTTAGTCTCCCATTGCATCAGTTTGACTGAAATTAGAGGCAGATTTGGGATGAAAGGTTCGCAGTATCCAGATTGTCTGAAAATGATCGCTTCAGCGTGCCAGTGTTCATAACCACACTGATCAAACATGATTTATCTTAGTGGTGAGGTTGTTGTCTGATCTGCAGGGTTGGTTTTTTGGCTTCTTTGCGACTGTCTTTCTCTCTTCTGTTCATCACTGTGTAGGTTGACATGTTGGTTTTTACATGGATTTCGGAGTGTGTGAAATTAGCATGACGTTAACGAAAACATTCTGTCTTTCTGATTTTTTACTTTTGCAAAACATCCCAGTATCTCCCAAATTATTTGATTTACTCAAAACTCAATGCTTCCAAACTTTGTAAGCAATCAGATAAGTATTAGGATGTTTATGTGGCATGTTTCAATATCCTCAGTGCATGTAGTGTGCAGTGGAGAAAAAGAGAGGAGGAGCATACTTGACACAGCTGATTTATGAAGATGCACAGTCTTTATCACTCAATCATCTAACGCTCTCTTTCACACATTATTCACATTTCCTGGTCTCCTGCAGCGTGGATGTACTCTCAGGTCATGTGCTGTTTACAGGTGTCATCCAGATGTTTTCTTGCGTGTTCTGATGCTCCCTCTGTTAGTACTTAATGCCATTTTTGCAGAAATGTTCCCGGTAGAGCCTAAGAATATCACACTTACACAAGCTTAAAGAAAAAGCAGAATTTTTATTTATTTATTTTATTATTTTCTTTTTTTGTGTGCAGAGGTAACGTGTGGCAAAAACGTGACCAGCTTGAAACCAACTGGTTTCATCGAAGTCTTTGCAGAGTTTTCTTTGAGCTACACTCTAACAGGGTAAATAGTGAAGAACAGACATTATTTTAGGAATACTTGAATCATGATTTTTTTTTTTTTTTTTGGGATAATGACCACTAAACTGTATAATTGACCCATCCAGCCAATTTACAACATAAATGTGCTAGTTTCATGTGTCATGTTTCTTTGCAGTCTCTTTGTTCTCACATAATGAAATTATTTAAACTCAAATCAATATTTCATGTCCATTAATGATTTATTTCTTAAGTAGCTGCATAATAAATACATCAACGTTATGACATACCGTACATGTATTTATATCGTTATTTAAATAATAAACTGAAATAATGGCATTTATCAATATTTGCTGGAAAAAAGCCATCAAGTGAAGACATTACATTGTAATCTTTTAATAGATACATATATATTTCATGCATAAATGTATATTTGTAATATAATACAATATAAATGTTTTTGTTTTTGGGCTTATTGAAATGCACATTCATTCTCTGCCAGCAGGAGGCGCTTTAGGTGCGGCAGAAATAGCGGTTTCCCCGGTAACGGCTGTAAACAAAACAGCGCTCTACTCATTAATGCTGCTTTATAATCAAAACTTTCAAAAGACAGTCAGTTCCCTTCAAAGATGCATTCATATAAAAACACCCACGCCACGTTTTGACTTTGATATAATATATATACACACACATATAAACACATGCAGTCGGACAACTGTTTTGGTTGATTTTGTCATATCACGCTGTTTTTCCAGCATCTTGCACCATAAGCACCATGTTTTTAAGACACTGTGTCAAGTTAAAAATATTGCAACTTTGAAAAATGCATGTCTTCTGTTCTGCTCTGTCCAGCTGTAATGTAAGAACCCAATATGTGTGACTGTGAGCTACTCCATCTGCTCTCCGTAGGTGCGGTTTAATGGAATCAGAATGTCATAACAATTTCATATCATAGCAAAAGCTTCCAGTTCAGCCATTGCAACATCCAAACTTCTTCCCAACTAAACACTGTAAAAAAAATTTGACATTTACGGTAAAATGCTGGCAGCTGTGGTTGCCAGAACTTTACCGTAAAAAATATGGTAGCAACATTTTAGGTTTTCAGACTTAAATTCACAGTTAAAAACTGCATTTCATTAACTGATATAATGTTAATACACCAACCTATTGAAGTACTAATACCTGTTTTGTAACATTGTAATACACTGATAACCACCATAAACAGCTGGTGATTAGAAAGTCACATGATGAATCAAAGCTCATCACAAGCAACTCTTCCACAAACTGGAGAGGTAAATACTAATATATAGAAGGTGCACAGTGTCATTCACACAAATAATAAACACCATCATGGTAACACATGTGATACTGAAATATTGCAATAAACTTTAATTTAACAACATTAGATGTAAGATAAATCCCTAATGTACACAACTGATAAGAAAAAAACTTAGAAGAAACGGTTATTTCAGTGAAAAAAACATCAAATGTGAAGCTTCATGCAGGGAATTCTGGGACTGTCAATTTACGTTTTTCACTGTAAATTATACAATGACTTGTTCTTTTTTCACTTCCAAAAACCATCATTTTAACAGTATTATACTGTAAAATTACATAAAATTAATAGGTTTTTACTGTAGCATTTTTAGTCTTTTACTGTTAAAATCATGATCATTTGTTTTTACAGTTGCAGCGAATCGAGAATTTGCACTGACAAAGACCAAATAAGGACTATTTAGTTTGCATGAGTGTCAGAATTTGTGAAATTATCTCACATAGTAATAAAATCATCCAGCTTGAGCAGAACAGTGTCCTTGAGATATTTCATTGTTAGAGATCATAGCCATGCATAAAATGTTATTACATAAACTTTTTGTTTGGCATGTAATAAATCTCAAGTTGCACAGGTGTAAATCTTTTTATCAGCAAGTGAGCTGCTTGTGCCCATTGGTGTTTTAAAATGATTTACCTAAGCTCACCGTCAGACTATGACTAATATGATTTTTATTTGACTGAAATAATATGACCTGTAGAACTTGTTCGTGCATCGTCTTCCACCTTCCCGCAAGTTATAATGACAAATGAGTGATGTGTTGTTTGTCACAGCTGCATTTGTCTTACATATCATCCTTTGCTTATAGTTTTCTCTTTTTCAAGAGCAAAGTCTTTGTTTTTTGCGGAGTAATCAAATTTTTATGCAGGTTCTGCAGTAGTAGTGCAGTTGTGAAACTTGCTATTTTTTGTCTTTAAAACTCTGATGATTGTGACAACATCTGACAAGAGCTGATAAGAATCTACCCATCCGTTGGAATAAAGCCCCTTCCAGCTCTTTATTGGTAAAGATTCTCCCTTGTCACATTCAAGTGACCATTGTGTCAACCTTAAACAGTTCCGTTTGTTATATGATGGATTGCCTTTTCTACACAAAGCATTCAAGACAAAAATTTAGAAATGGCTGTCTCAATATTTCAAAGAACTGAAAAGCAAAAACACGCTTAAAACTGTGTTAACTAAGATATGGCAATATTCCGTCAACTATAAGAAAACTTATTGTAGATTTCCCCAAAATAGTGTAAATAAAACATTGTTCTTTGTTTGAGCACCCCAGCAAGCCCGACACAGCAACGTTGGCTCAGCTGTTGGCTTGAGTTTGGGAAAGTTTGCACAATTCCGTTTGAGATGCAGAAATTGCTATTTTTGTCAATTTTTTTTCTCTTAAAAAGAGATATTTTGTATTAATTCAGTCAGCTAATTTTTAAATGACTAAATTATTTTCATGATAAAAATAATTGCAAAAAAAAAAAGGACAAAATGCTGAAAGTTTTTCAAACAAACATCCACCGAACCTCTCATAGACCTGTTTTGTTTTTCATTAGACTGTTGTTAATGTTGAGTTTGAAGGCCCAGCTCCAGACGAGGGCTGCTCCATGGGTAGGCCAATGTTGCATTGTTGGCAGTGGCTCATTTGAATAGCCCTTTAGTATTTTCTGTGAGCAAGTCATCGCCATTTGCATTTGTTCCAGTCACAAAGGTTTACAGGTCAATAGAGACCAAGCTAACATGCCAAGGAACCCTCTCTCCTCTTATTCTCCTTTCTCTCCTGTCTCTCAACCTTCTTTTGCCCTTCCTTGGTTGTCATGATAAACTCTGCCCATCTCCCTGGGAATGTGTTTGTGCTAGGGCTGGACAATAATTCAATATCAATATAAAATATATAGTTTTATAGGAGTAGGTTTCATAGAGTTGGCAAATTAATTTTTCATAAGTTTGTAGGTACAGACATCTGTTGTGGCCGTTTTTATGAGGCTTTTTTAATAGTGTTCATATCGATATCAGAATTATATCGTATCGACCGAAATTAAGAAATATATCGTGATATAAATTTTGGCCATATCGTCCAGCCCTAGTTTGTGCATGCGTATTGTGTGTGTGTGTGTGCGTAGCTACACATATAGCTTCTTAGACGCGCACACATAGAACCAGAAGTCCCAGGTCTTCATAATTAATCCTAG